TTTGGGGGCCTTTTTGGGGCCTCCCCCCTCATGTCTTTCATTTTCAAAGAGTCACTTATATTCTGTGGGCCGGCATCTTTGTGTTGGTCGCCCGCTTGCCTCTCCTACTCACCGGCTTTATTGCATCAGGTATATAGTGCTAGACCTATCATTGTGTAGATGATTCTTGTGTGATGTGGTCAGCAATCCTGCTGGCTGCCTCTGACCTCCAAGGACAATCACTTCGTGTACACTCAAGAGCGCAAGCTCAGTTTTGAAGAAAAAAAGTCCGCCTCGATGTGGATTGAACGCTTCGTCTCCTCCAGAGTCACCAGCCGAGTACTTACCCTACTGTTCATAATAACATCATACAGCTTGTAAATTGCTGGTTGAACCTCTCGAGCAGGACATGCAGCTAGCAGGTTTTTCTTCTCACATGTTGGACCGAAGTCTACCCATGGCACGCACCGCATGCCAGATTCTGCTCACAGAGATCCTAGGCCCAGGTGCAGTCCAAGTATTACAGTCACTTTGACTAATGTCAAGGAATACAGTCACGTAGTTTTGTTTGTTGTTGTCTTTGTTTTAAATTTTAATGTTTTGATCATTTTGTTTTTAAACATTTAAAAATGTTTCCCCTCTAGGAGTGCAGACTATGGACAGATCAATCACCGTCACTCAAGGTAGACACTGTTTGGATGCGAATCCAACAGGACATGCGAATCCCAGAAACCCGTTCAAACCCCTATTTTCTATCTTAAAGTCCAATCACTGTGTGGCGTTTGTAGTTATATCTATCCACAGGCCATCTATCTCTGTGTACTTTCAGTCAACTCTTGCACAGATGATCTCCATACCGTGATATCAGACTGTCCAGCATATATTCTCTAAGTCTCTCTCTACCGTCTCCTTCCTCTCCAACTGTACGACTGTCATGCATGTACTTTCCAGTCTTTCTCCTTCTCATTACATGACTATAGAATGGAATCATATGTCTATATCTGATGTGGGAATCAGTTCACTTTCAAGACATCTTCATCGCTCCGATCTTTTTTTATTTGTCCAGTGTATTCTCATTATTCGTCTATTAAACCACATCAGTCCGTATACCGTGATATAGAGCAACCCGCTGGTTACAGAGTATCTCTGTAGTCAAATTTGGGTTTGTATGCATAAACACCAAGAACCAGGGCTATTCAGCTGGCAGCCTGCAGAGGCCTAGCAAGTGGCCCACCAATCACCTGCCAGTTGTATTACATTAAGGATCTTCTTGTGCTGGAGTAAAGCTTGAACAGCATTAAAAGTCTATGGTTAAAAACCAGCAAGGAAGTCAAAATTTGAATTTTGAGAGCATGTGTCTTCCTGTAGCTACATACCGATGTGATTCGTGGATTATTGTCCCAGTCCTTAGAAAGAGTATAGGGGCTTTTGAGCTGAAATGCTAAAGAAAGATTATCAGATACCAGGGACAAAGAAGAAAAGAAATACTGATATTTTAAAAGATCTGAACATCAAAGAAGATAGGCTAACAAACAGCATCTTGTCTCGGAAGATGGACATATTTTGGTCATATGAAACGCCATATTGCAGTTTGAAAAAAAAAAAGTGATATTAGAAGGCATGGTACCAGGAAGAAGGGGGCAGGGCCGCCGGACCAACACAAAGTTGGGCACAGGATTTAAGTGAATCCTTGAGTATGAAAGTACACAAGGCGGGGAGAACTGACGAGAGACAAGGTTTCTTTCAGGCAGACCGTGTTGAGAACGATGTTCTGCAAAGGACCTGCTACATGATACTGGATTTTGGCTCTCTGGCGACATACCTATTTCCCAACATTTTGGCCCCAAGCTGTAATGACTGTGTCCAGCAAGCTGTAATGACTGTGTCCAGCAAGCTGTAATGACTGTGTCCAGCAAGCTGTAATGACTGTGTCCAGCAAGCTGTATTGACTGTGTCCAGCAAGCTGTAATGACTGTGTCCAGCAAGCTGTAATGTCTGTGTCCAGCAAGCTGTATTGACTGTGTCCAGCAAGCAGTATTGACTGTCCAGCAAGCTGTATTGACTGTGTCCAGCAAGCTGTAATTTTCCATTGTGATGTAATAAATGTACTTTCATGTGTAAATTCACCAACATTTGTTTTTGAGTTTAGTTAACAACCGACATCACAGCACTCTGGAAATTCCCATAATTACTTCATACCCATCTTCAGCAGCCAGCACAGAGTTCCATTTCTGGTGGCACCAGTAGTAGCCTGATTGTATATCTATCTTGCTTTCCTCTGTGTGTTGAGTCTAGACAGATCCACTGCTCACTGTTAACTTCTTCCAAAAGGGCCTTGATCACATCTAGCTTGTTGTACATCATTTTACCCTCAGACGGTGCATAACCAGCCAGGCTGTCTGTGAGTTCATTTCCCTCCACACCTGTATATCCTTGAGAAACTATCCAAAGGACACTAATTATCTGGGACCTCTGAAGTGATGCTTGCAACTCCACGTGAACCATGCCTATCTACTCTTTTACATTTTCTAGTTGTTATGTATTTTCCAAGAGAAACGCTGCAACAGACGTCTTTTTTTTTACTTCTTTAGGCGTTTGTTATCCTGGTTAACAAGTTAGTTTTATGAAACATTTCTAACTTAAATGATGAATTAATGTTAATAAACACAATATAATATTGACTTTTTTACAAAAGCTGCTAGAATTCTAAAAATGTTTAATAGTTGTGAATTTTGAATAACAGTTGTTACTGTGTCTTTTAGTGTGATCAAAATATTTCACTTGTCATGATTTCTTCTCTCAGCAACCACTTTTTCCTAGTCTCTTGAGAACCTTTGTATTGAAAGTAGGCAAAGTATTGTAATGTGTCTTTCAAGAATATGCAGAGTAGTGTAATGTGTCTTTCAAGAATATGCAAAGTATTAGAATGTGTCTTTAAACAATTTGCAAAGAATTGTCATGTATCTTTCAAAAATATGCAAAGCATTGTAATGTGTCTTTCAAGAATATGCAAAATATTGTAATGTGTCTTTCAAGAATATGCAAAGTATTGTAATGTGTCTTTCAAGAATATGTAAAGTATTATAATGTGTGTTGCAGGCATGGCAGCTGAGATTTGGTCACCTGGTGGGCTATGGAGCCAAGTACTATGCTTATCTTGTATCACGAGCCATTGCAGCACAGATCTGGCATACATGTTTCAAGGCGGACCCTTTCAATAGGTTTGATATTTGCATGGTGTTGTGTCCAGGATTCATTCATTTAAGAGCAGCAGACGAGATGGTTTGATATTTGCATGGTGTTGTGTCCAGGATTCATTCATTTAAGAGCAGCAGACAAGATGGTTTGATATTTGCATGGTGTTGTGTCCAGGATTCATTCATTTGAGAGCACAGCAGACGAGATTGTTTGATATTAGCATGGTGTTGTGTCCAGGATTCATTCATTTGAGAGCACAGCAGATGAGATGGTTTGATATTTGCATGGTTGTTGTCCAGGATTCATTCATTTGAGAGCAGCAGACGAGATGGTTGATATTTGCATGGTGTTGTGTCCAGGATTCATTCATTTGAGAGCAGCAGACAGGGTTCGTAGTGGACACGGGAAATCAGGAAATTACCGGGATTTTTTTCGTTGACCCTTAAAACACGGGATTTTAGCTTATATAAAGACATTCCGACCTTGAAAAGCCCGTGAATTTTGACCGCGGGCAATGAAATCGTCGAAATCCTGTGTTTTTCAAGCACAGGCAATTTTGGGGGAGCCATTTGGCTTTTTTGGCCATTTGGCTTTTTTGGCCATTTGGCTTTTTTTGGCCATTTGGCTAGTTTTTGGCTACTTTCGTTGTATGGTCGTTTCAGGTGTGAGGGCAGCTGATTATTGGCTAATTTTCAGCCGAAATGGCTTGTTAAAGTGGCAAGGGAGGGCGGGCTTTCTGTTACAGATCATAATACATGCAGACAGCAGCAGTGTGGCATGTGGGCGGGAAGGAGCAGCTTCTGTCTCGCGCCTGTGTGTGTGTGTGCCTTTGTTTCTAGCAAGTCGGGCAGTCGGGCAGAATGAACAGTTTAAAATCGTTTATGGCCGTGGTTTCTAGAAAGGATTACTCTTGGGAGATGGTGGGGCCGGTTCATGTTGTATTTTATAAATAGAGTCGCCGTGGTGGGGCTAAGCACGGCCTTCTCTATTAATTAGAGATGGCATTGGGGCTAAGAAAAGTGGACTGCAGCTGGATTTTCCAGTTCTATTTTTGGCCTGGATTTATCTTTACAGTGTGTTTGGCGATCAGTATTGTAATTCCCCGAGATTCCCTCTTCTGTTGTCTCACCCCTCTCTCTCTCTCTCTTCCCTCCTCTTTCACTCTTCTACCTATTGCTCCTTCCTTCCCGTCTCCTGCATTGTCTCTAACCCTCCCTTCTGATCTTCATCTTCTTCTCTTTCTCTCTATCTTTCCTTTTACTCTCTCATTTCCTGTACCCTCCCCCTTTTTTTCCTATTTTATTTCTTGTTTAAATGTTTAGTAAATGTGCGGCTCCATAACTCTTCCTAGCAACTCAAATGTACACAGGAAGTTGTATTGGGGGGGGGGGGGGGGGCATTCTGTGTGAACATGGTGGATATTTTTCTTTTGATGTGTTTGTTTCCTAGCGGCCTTAATCTCTGTCTCCCTTCCAGCCCCCTCACATTTTGTCCTACCTGTTCCTCACTCTCTGCCTGTCTGTGTCACTGCTTTCTTCTTTCTCTCTCTTTTGTATTTGCCACTCCCTCTCTCCCTCTCTCTCTCTCTCTCTCTCTCTCTCTCTCTCATCTCTCTCTCTCTCTCTCTCTCTCTCTGTCTTTCTCCATACCTTCAGTTGGTGTAGAAGGTTATGTGTTTGCCTAGTGCAGAACATTTCATGTCCACCATTCCCCCTCCCACACATTAATATATGTGTACTTTTAAAAACACATTTGCCGTCACCCCCCCCCCCCCCCTTTCTCCTCCCACATTGATGACACCCTAGGGGAGGGAGTGCACCCTTCCTGCTACCTTCTTCCCCTCTATATCTCATCTTATTTCTTACTCCCTTCTTTCTCTCCCTGTCTCATTCCCACTTTATTTTCTTAAACTTTATTCTCTCACCTCCTCTGTCTCACCCTTACCACCTCAGCCTTCTACACCACTTTCCCCACCTCCTCTCTCCCCTCCTTTCTGTAATTGGAAAACCAAAAATAAAACGAAGTCCACTGCTGCCCTGACCTGATTTTATGTGTCTGACCTATATATGTGTGTGGGTAAACTTCTCTATTTTCCACCAGTGGTGGGTTGGGATCCCCTGGACTTTTATTTTCTTCATAAAATGACCTTGGCTCTCAGGTCACCAGCCTTAAGTGTAAGAAATTGAATTATTGTTGTCACACACAGATAGGACAAGCAAGGGGCAGTAGGGGTTAGCACTGTTGTTTTTGGACCACGGCCACATTCACATTGGGAGAGGGTAGGAACCGGAAAAGTGGGCCTCACTTAGAGATTTCCTAATTCTATTTTTGGCACTCATTGTTCTTACACCCCCCCCCCCCCCACCCCCACAACGTCTTACCTTTCTTCTCTCACCCCTTTCTCTTTCCTTTGATCTTCTACTATTCTCCTTTCTCTCTCCCATTCTTCCTCTGTTTCTTTCCTTGCCCTCTCTCCTGTCCCATCTCTTCTTTGTCTCCTCTCCATCCTGTCTTTTCATTTTCTCTAGATTTCCTTACCCGCTCCCCTCTCTCATTCTTCCCCCCCCCCCCCCCATCCCTTTTTTTTTACTGGTTCATCTACATATTTTTTTGCCCCATAACTATCTTTTCCCTAGTGGTTGTGTCCACTACACTTGAAAAGGTTGTGTGGGTGTGGGGGGGGGGGGGGAGGGGGGGGGGGAAGTAGGTGGCTGTTTTTTTTTCTTTGATGTATCTTGTCTCCCTTCCTGCCCCTCTCTCAATCTGTGTTTGTCACTGCCTCCTTACCCACCTCTCTCTCTCTCTCTCTTGCTTTATGTCTGTTTGCCTCCCTTCATCACTTCCTCTTTGTATACCTCCCTCCCATTCTCCTGCTCTGCCTTTTTTCTCTTTCTTTGGTTCTCTCCCTCTGTCTGCTTGCCTCTCTGTGCTGTCCTTTTGTCTCTCTCTCTCCTTTATGTCTACATCTCTCTCTGCTTGCATCTGCTTCTCACCCTGTCCGTTCTCTCTCCCTCTGTCTCCCTTCTTTCAACTCTTTGTCATAATTTCCTTCTTCCATATCTCTATTTCGTTCCCTTTTTCCTTCTCTTTTCATCTGCCCATCTCTGTATCTGCATTCCCTCTTTCTGTATTTTTTCCCCTCTCTGTCTTTCGCTGTTCCTTCCCCCAACTTTTCCTCATCATGTCTCCATCCCTCCCTCTCATTTTTTCCTCCTTCCCCAGAGACTTCTTTTCCTTCTTTTCTCTACCTTCATCTGTCCATCTTTACACTGTCTCTCCCAGCCTACCTCAACATGTGTCTTCCTCTCTCTTCATGACTCTCTCTCTCTCCCCTAACCCTCTCAGGTACCAGGTCCAGAACAGACAGGACTTCAGTTTGCTGCCCTCTACCACCAAGCCCTAAAAAAAATTTCAAACACTATATCAAGCTCAGGGGCCGACCAGCACGAAGATATATACTCCTTGAGTATAAAAAAGTACATGAGGCGGGAGAGCTGGTGAGAGACCGAGGTTTTTTTGTCAGGACAAAGGAAATGCTACATGATGATGATTTCTGTGCTGGTATACCAAACACATGTGGCACAAATGAAGTACCTTGTGTGCTCAGTACACCCTTGAACAAGGCAAAAATCTTGTTTCAGTATTACACCGAGACAACCTTGAAAAAAACTAAGGAGACCTTAAAAAGGACCTTGAAAAGCCTTGAAATTGATTGGTAAATTTGGCTATGAACCCTGAGCAGACGAGATGGTTTGATGTTTGCATGGTGTTGTGTCCAGGATTCATTCATTTGAGAGCACAGCAGATGAGATGGTTTGATATTTGCATGGTGTTGTGTCCAGGATTCATTCATTTGAGAGCACAGCAGATGAGATGGTTTGATCGTCTGATGAGAAGTCCTGGGTACCAGCTGTTGCAAGGAGAGCCAGGCTGACGAAACATAATGAACACAGAGCAGGGGGAAGGGAGACAGCACAAAGGAAGACAGATGTTGTTGAGTGTGGGCCTGGGCTGCTGGCCTGGACTCTCTCCTTGAAATCAGAGACTGCAGAGGATGGAAGGGAAGAGAGGACTAGACTGAGCCCTATGTGACATTTACTGGCATGACAGGGTGATGATGTTGACTTGGATGATGATGAAACTGTTTTTGTTTCTAAGACATGATGCTGTTTATGAACAAGTTTTCTTTGATGTTCAAATTTTTATCACATGTCAGTGTTTATTTTCTCAACTTCTAATATCAGTTTTGGGGCTGGGTCAGCTTTGGAACCAGCTCAGTTAAAAAATTCCTAACATCGAAAGGAAGGGGGTGGGTTTGAAAAAAATAAAGTAGCAAATCAACACAGAGTGCTGGTTGGTAAAATCCATTAGTGATGGATGGGTGGAGATATCAGAGTTGCCATTACTAGCTGCTGCGTAGCACATGTCAAGGCTCGCCTCCGATGTCTCTTCAAAACCTGACATTAAAAAGGAGAACAGAAGAAAAGAAGAAGAAGTAAATCATTTAATTGTTAGAGTTAAAGCATTCATAGACTCAAACTCATAGATGCAAACTCATAGACCCAGACTCATAGACCCAAACTCATAGACCCAGACTCGTAGATGGAAACTCATAGACCCAAACTCATAGATGCAAACTCATAGATCCAGACTCATAGACCCAAACTCATAGACCCAGACTCGTAGATGCAAACTCATAGACCCAAACTCATAGATGCAAACTCATAGATCCAGACTCATAGACCCAAACTCATAGACCCAGACTCGTAGATGCAAACTCAAAGACCCAAACTCATAGATGCAAACTCATAGATCCAGACTCATAGACCCAAACTCATAGACCCAATACATATTCTTCTCTTTGGCTAGATCCATGGGCTCTAGGTACAGAAATGAAATCTTGGCACACGGAGGAGAGAAACATCCAGTACAGATTATCCAAGGTATTTGGTTGTATCGTCATTCATTAGTTTCTTTATAGGTTATCTTCTTTACTATTATTTAAGATGTTGCCATATTTTATGTTTTCTTCTTATAATAGAACTGAATGGGCATTCTATGGGCAAATTGCCTTTCTGTCTTTTGAGATAGTAATATTCCGTGTGTGCTGTAGTGAGGACTACCAGAAGGTATAAGAAAACAAATATGTTAAAGATACCAACAACATATCCTGTAAGTGTCATGCTAGAGAACACACCAGTAAAAATAACGGACCATTTCACCTATTTGGGTAGTGATGTTGAGTCTCAAGCAGATACAGCAAAGGAAATTATGAGACACATTGGCAAAGCAACAACAATATTTAAAAGCCCTAACATAATATGAAGCTCCAAATGATACAGCTTTAAGACCAGATTACGAATCTTCAGTTCTAATGTTGTATCAGTTCTAACATATGCCAGTGAAAGTTGGAGAACTACCAAAGATTTGGAACAACAAAAGTTAAAAGCATTTGAAAATAAAAGTCTGAGAAAAATCATGAAAATTAAATGGGATGAATTCAAAAAAGAATGCGGAGATCAGAGAAATGTCTGGACACATACTTGGTCTTATTACAATAAGACAAAGAAGATGGATATATATTGGGTAGACTCTGAGACAAAATGAGCAAAGAATTATGAAACAAACACTGAAATTGGAAATAGATGGTCTGAGAGAAAAAGAGGACATCCAAGGGAAACATTAAGAAGAACACTTTTACATGAGGCTAAAAATGCTGGGCTGAACTCTGTGTAAGAAATCAATGAAAAGGTTCTTTGCCACCAACAAAGTTTTTTGCCACCAAAAACGTTTCTTGACACTGAAAAAGTTCTTTGCCACTGAAAAAGTTTTTTGCCACCCAAAAAAGTTGTTTGCTACTGAAAGAGTTCTGGAAGCATTCCTTGCCCCTGAAATCGTACCTTGCATACCTTGCTGCTAAAAATGTACTTCAGTAGTGAAAGAGTTCTTTGCCACTGGAAACTTTCCTTGGCACTGAACGAGTTCCTTGGCCTGAAAGAGTTCCTTGCCACTGAAAGCATTCTTTGACACTGAAAAACGTTCTTGCATGCCTTGTCTACCTTGCTAGTTAGAAAGTTACTGGTTACTGAAAGAGTTAATGTTGGTTTGTTTATGTCCTCTACAGACATGCTGGGGCAGCAGCCAACAGTAGAAAATCTGGTCAAGTCCTTGATTGTTGATCTGGATGAGAGTGTCCAGCAGCTGGACAGGTTGTGACATGGTTGACTACCAGGAATCACATGATATGTGGCAGGAATCACATGGGATGTGACATCACAGTGTTTCAGGAATCACATGGGATGTTAAAATCCAGGTTATCATTAATCACATGTGATGTGGCAATCCAGATTGTTAGCAATCACCTGTGATGTGACAACTCAAATTGTTAACAGTCACATGGAATGTGACAAACCAGTGTGTCAACATGGGATGTGACAAACCAGTGTGTCATCAGTCACATAAAAATATGACATTACAGTTTGGCAGGAATCACATAACATGTGACATCACAAGTTGGCAGGAATCACCTGAGATGTAATACTGGTATTGTGTTTTCTAATCCACAAAATGTTGATTGTTGTGTGAAATATTTGCTGTGAATAAAGATGAATTAAAGATAAAACAGAACTGCGTACTTAATCTGTTGAATGTGTGTACAGTTTACTAAGTAAAACACATGCTGTCACTAAAAAGCCTAACAGAGGGTAGGGATAATATCATCTCAACTACAGTCACACCCATTCATGTCATCACTTTATCATAGGTTCTGATTCTTTTTGACTGCAAGTCTTTTCCATGCACAGTCTATGAAGACTCAGGTGGCTGGGTCACACATGGAGAATGGAGGATGGCAGAGTCCCTAAGGACATCCTTTATGGTGAATTCTACTACGGTAAAAAGATGTGCGCAAGCGGGACATGAATGATACAGGTACTGGGAACAAAATGCTATGGACCATGTTGTGTGGAAAGGGTATATCAGGAAGGGAATGAGACCGAAAAAAGAAATGATTGCAGAAAGGATGAGAGCTGAGCATATAAAAAGAAACGGATTAAACATAAATGTTGACAGCAATGGTCCTGAAATCCCATGCTATCATATTGGAAGACTTTTCTTGACACGGGCGGGTCTTGCTAGTCACACTCGCAATCGCCATGGGCTGTGAGTCTCATGCTTCCTCATAGCGCAATATGAAACTATCGTCTGGAAAGAATGGAAAGCTGCCAATCATCATTCTTTTTTTGCTTGGTTTTGGTCACGCTTGTTGTTTCACCCCCCCCCTCCCTTTTTCCCCCCCCATCTTCCTTGAAATAAGATCATCATCTGGCATGCCGATAACGATCTTATTTCAAGGAAGATGGGGGTGAAACAACTAGCGTGACCAAAACCAAGCAAAAAAGAATGATGATTGGCAGCTTTCCATTCTTTCCAGACGATAGTTTCATATTGCGCTATGAGGAAGCATGAGACTCACAGCCCATGGCGATTGCGAGTGTGACTAGCAAGACCCGCCCGTGTCAAGAACTAAAATTTGTTTTTTTACTCTTGTCTTATCTATTTTTCTGCCACAAGTGAGCTACGAAGTGTCAAATTTCTCATCTAGATTATCTCTTCCAGTGTGAAATAATAGTCTAAGACTAAATTTTCAACTTTTGGAAAATGTCAGATTTTGGCCAAACCCGACAGGCGCGCGCCTTTGGAAAAAATCTCAATTTTGGGCATTTTTAGGCTATCTCAATTTTTGCTCCAAAATTGCTCCAAAATGTCAAATCCTACATCCAGATTACCTACTCTGCATCTAGAGTGTCTATTCATGTGTAAAATAATTGTTTAGGGCTCAATGTTTAGTGGTAGGAAACAAAAAAGTTGTTGGGAACATTTCTTTCTAAAATTTGTTTTTTCACTCTTGTCTTATCTATTTTTCTGCCACAAGTGAGCTACAAAGTGTCAAATTTCTCATCTAGATTATCTCTTCCAGTGTGAAATAATAGTCTGAGACTAAATTTTCAACTTTTGGAAAATGTCAGATTTTGGAAAAACAGGCGCGCGCCTTTTAGGCATAAAAATCTCAAAAATGTCAATTACATCCAGATTACCTACTCTGCATTTTGTGTAAAATAATTGTTTATGCTCAATGTTTAGTGGAGGAAACAAAAAAGTTGTTGGGAAATTTTTTTTCTAAAATTTTCTCTTGTCTTATCTATCTAGATTATCTCTTCCAGTGTGAAATAATAGTCTGAGACTAAATTTTCAACTTTTGGAAAATGTCAGATTTTGGCCAAACCCGACAGGCGCGCGCCTTTGGAAAAATCTCAATTTTGGCATTTTTAGGCTATCTCAATTTTTGCTCCAAAATTGCTCCAAAATGTCAAATCCTACATCCAGATTACCTACTCTGCATCTAGAGTGTCTATTCATGTGTAAAATAATTGTTTAGGGCTCAATGTTTAGTGGTAGGAAACAAAAAAGTTGTTGGGAACATTTCTTTCTAAAATTTGTTTTTTCACTCTTGTCTTATCTATTTTTCTGCCACAAGTGAGCTACAAAGTGTCAAATTTCTCATCTAGATTATCTCTTCCAGTGTGAAATAATAGTCTGAGACTAAATTTTCAACTTTTGGAAAATGTCAGATTTTGGCCAAACCCGACAGGCGCGCGCCTTTGGAAAAATCTCAATTTTGGGCATTTTTAGGCTATCTCAATTTTTGCTCCAAAATTGCTCCAAAATGTCAAATCCTACATCCAGATTACCTACTCTGCATCTAGAGTGTCTATTCATGTGTAAAATAATTGTTTATGGGCTCAATGTTAGTGGTAGGAAACAAAAAAGTTGTTGGGAACATTTTTTTTAAAATTTTTTTTTTTCACTCTTGTCTTATCTATTTTTCTGCCACAAGTGAGCTACGAAGTGTCAAATTTCTCATCTAGATTATCTCTTCCAGTGAAAAAAAAATTGGGGGAAAACTTTTTTTTAAAAAAATTTTTTTTACTCTTGTCTTATCTATTTTTCTGAAAACAAGTGAGCTACAAAAGTGTCAAATTTTCATTAGATTATTCTTCAGTGTGAAAAAATAGTCTAGACTAAATTTTAAATTGGAAAATGTCATTTTTGGCCAAAAACCGCAGGCGCGCGTTTTGGAAAAACTAAATTTTGGGGATTTTAGGCTTTTAAATTTTTCTCAAGTTTGCTCCAAAAATTCAAATCTACACCCGATTACCTACTCTGCATTAGAGTGTCTATTCATGTTAAAAAAATTTGTTCAGGGTTTTAATTTTAAAGGGTAGGAAAAAAAAAAATTGTTGGAACATTTTTTTTTTGAAAATTTTTTTTTTTAAACTATTTTCTATTTTCACCCACAAGGAGCGTAAGGTAAAAATTTTTTTGGGTTATCTTTTCGTTGAAATAATAGTTAGACAAATTTTAATTTTTGGGAAAATGTCGAT